AATTATAACAAACAAAGTGTGGATATTATGAAAGATATACTCACATACGCTCACATATACTCACATACTCTCACATATACTCACATACGCTAACATACTCACATACGCTAACATATACTCACATACTCTCACATATACTCACATACTCTCACATATACTCACATACGCTCACATATACTCACATACGCTAACATACTCACATACGCTCACATATACTCACATACGCTCACATATACTCACATACGCTAACATACTCACATACGCTCACATATACTCACATACGCTCACATATACTCACATACTCTCACATATACTCACATACGCTCACATATACTCACATACTCTCACATATACTCACATACGCTAACATACTCACATACGCTCACATATACTCACATACGCTCACATATACTCACATACGCTAACATACTCACATACGCTCTCACATACGCTAACATACTCACATACGCTAACATACTCACATACGCTCACATATACTCACATACTCTCACATATACTCACATACGCTAACATACTCACATACGCTCTCACATACGCTAACATACTCACATACGCTAACATACTCACATACTCTCACATATACTCACATACTCTCACATATACTCACATACGCTAACATACTCACATACGCTCACATATACTCACATACGCTAACATACTCACATACGCTAACATACTCACATACGCTCACATATACTCACATACTCTCACATATACTCACATACGCTAACATACTCACATACGCTCACATATACTCACATACGCTAACATACTCACATACGCTAACATACTCACATACGCTCACATATACTCACATACGCTAACATACTCACATACGCTCACATATATGCTCACTGTGAAGCGCTTTGATACAATCTGTATTGTAAAAAGCGCTATATAAATAAAGGTGACTTGACACACTCGTCTCACACACAGACACATCTGACACACACTCAAACACAGACACATCTGACACACACTCAAACACAGACACATCTGACACACACTCAAACACAGACAGAGACACATCTGACACACACTCAATAAACACGGACAGACTCACACACCTGACACACTCATTAAACACACACACATCTGGCACACACTCAAACACACACTCTCAAACACACACATCTGACACACACTCTCAAACACACACATCTGACACACACACATCTGACACACACTCAAACACAGACACTCAAACACAGACACACATTCACATACACATCAGACACACACTCAAACACAGACAGACACACACTCAAACACAGACACACACACACTCAAACACAGACACACACACACACTCAAACACAGACACTCAAACACAGACACACATACACATCAGACACACACTCAAACACAGACACACACACACTCAAACACAGACACACACACACTCAAACACAGACACACACACACTCAAACACAGACACACACACACACTCAAACACAGACACACACACTCAAACACAGACACACACACTCAAAAACAGACACACATCAGACACACACTCATTAAACAAAACGGACTTCAGTAACGTTAGCTCTATAACGTTATATCATAAATAATAATACAATCTGATTCTAAACTCACGTGTGAAGTGATTTAAACATCCAACATCGATGATTTTAGCTCGAAACTTCATTTTGCGCCAGTAAACGTAATATTTTAATACTTTGAGGAGTTTTCTCTGTTTTTGTTGACATTCATGTGAGATTTCGCGCCAGCGGTCCGACGGAGAACTCTTCCGTCCGGAAACACACGCTCGGGTTTACAGTTCCGCTCAGCCACACTTCCTGTCACCACACGGTGGCGCTCCTGCTAAAGCTTTCATCGTCACAGTAAAACACCTGCAACTTATGCCTCTTATGGCATGAAAATGTGCTTACCTTTATTATTTTTAAATAACATTAGTGTTTTTTATTTATATTGAACGTTCACAAATAAACCCAGTGTTTTTATAGTCTTATATAAAATATAAAATTATATAAAAAAATAAAATAAAAAAAAGGCTTTTTTTTTTATAGACTTACAGGCTAATTTTTACTGTTTAAACTCAATATATATTACAGCAAGAGAGTATTAATGGTTGATTAATTATTCTGTCTTAACTGTGTTTTGTTCATATGGTGTGAAGTAGGAGGAGAGAGAGAGAGAGAGAGAGAGAGAGAGAGAGAGAGAGAGAGAGAGAGAGAGAGAGAAACAGACACACACACACACACACACACGGGCGCACAGCTTCAGTCTCGGAGCTCCGCGTTTGCTTCTGCTGGATCCGATGGACTGATGATGATGATGATGATGATTGACGGATGAAGAGCATGTTCACCCGCTCCAGAGTCAGTCGCATGAACATGTTCGCCTGGATATGAATGATGAGTGTATTCCGAGATTTGAGGTGATTGAATCAAACTCGCTTCTTCATCATGGATCCGCATCTTCTGACACTCATCAAACTTTCTCTGATTTTCGGTGAGTCTATTTTTACCTTTTTATGTCAGTTTATTATTTTAAACGCACTCGCGTTTTTATTAAGAGTGTCAGGGGAATAAACGTGTGTGTGTGTGTGTGTGTGTGTGTGTGTGTGTGTGTGTGTGTGTGTGTGTGTGCGTGTGTGTGTGTGTGTGTGTCCTGCTGTGATGTTTCAGGAGTTGCTGTAGCTCTAGTCAGCAGATTTCACACACACAGACACTGATGAGGATCTGAATTAAACTGTGAGAATATTATTAACCCTCTGATTCATAATGTCCACTGCTTTAAAATCAATTCAACTGTTCAGGTGTGATATTTCACAATTTATTTAAAATACATAATTAATAAATAGTAAATAGTAAATATAATATATTATGTATTTTTGTATTATTATTTGAGACAGTATAACATGGCTGTACATCTGGAACATCTCTCTTATTGCAACACCAAAAAAATTGGAAATTAGTAAAAAATAAACATGAGGATTTTCTTTGTGGTTTAATAACTGATGCATCGAAGGGTTAAAGGGACGTTCATCACTGAAAGCTGAAGCTCATGATTAATTCATAATAAATGAAGTGTGTGATCATCAGCTGATGTATGCTAGCACTTATTAGCTTACAAGAACAAACATGTTACCAGTGAAGTTTAAACGTGAGGCGATTAGAGAATCAAGAGAGCTGATATATTCCATGTCTGGAATTCTGAGGTTCACCATGAGCTCACACACTCACACACACTCACACTCACATATGCTCACATACGCTCACATACTCACACACACTCACACTCACATACGATCACATACTCACACACACACTCACATACGCTCACATACTCACACACACTCACACTCACATACGATCACATACTCACACACACACTCACATACTCACACACACACTCACATACGCTCACATACTCACACACACACTCACATACGCTCACATACTCACACACACTCACACTCACATACGATCACATACTCACACACACACTCACATACTCACACACACACTCACATACGCTCACATTCTCACACTCACATACTCACATACGCTCACAAACACTCACATATGCTCACACACACTCACACACACACTCACATACACTCACATACTCACACACTCACATATGCTCACACACACACACACACTCACATACGCTCACATACTCACACACACACACTCACATATACTCACATACTCGCATGCTCATATACGTTCACACATACTCACATACTAATGTACGCTCACACATACTCACATACTCACATACTAATATACGCTCACACATACTCACATACTAATATACACTCACACATACTCACATACTCACATACTAATATACGCTCACACATACTCACATACTCACATACTAATATACGCTCACATATACTCACATACTAATATACGCTCACACATACTCACATACAAATATACGCTCACACATACTCACATACTCACATACTAATATACGCTCACATATACTCACATACTCACATACTAATATACGCTCACACATACTCACATACTCACATACTAATATACGCTCACATACTCATACTCACATACTAATATACGCTCACATACTAATATACGCTCACATATACTCACATACTCATATACGCTCACACACGCTCACATACGCTCACATACTCATATGCTCACATACTCATACGCTCACATACTCATACGCTCACATACTCATATACGCTCACATACTCATATGCTCACATACTCATACGCTCACATACTCATACGCTCACATACTCATACGCTCACATACTCATATACGCTCACATACTCATATACGCTCACATACTCATATACGCTCACATACTCATACGCTCACATACTCATATACGCTCACATACTCATATACGCTCACATACTCATACGCTCACATACTCATACGCTCACATACTCATACGCTCACATACTCATACGCTCACACACTCATATACGCTCACATACTCATATACGCTCACACACTCATATACGCTCACATACTCATACGCTCACACACTCATACGCTCACATACTCATATACGCTCACATACTCATATACGCTCACACACTCATATACGCTCACATACTCATATACGCTCACATACTCATATACGCTCACACACTCATATACGCTCACATACTCATACGCTCACACACTCATACGCTCACATACTCATATACGCTTACATACTCATACGCTCACATACTCATATACGCTCACATACTCATACGCTCACACACTCATATACGCTCACATACTCATATACGCTCACATACTCATACGCTCACATACTCATATACGCTCACATACTCATACGCTCACATACTCATACGCTCACATACTCATACGCTCACATACTCATATACGCTCACATACTCATACGCTCACATACTCATATACGCTCACATACTCATACGCTCACATACTCATACGCTCACATACTCATATACGCTCACATACTCATACGCTCACATACTCATACGCTCACATACTTATATACGCTCACATACTCATACGCTCACATACTCATACGCTCACATACTTATATACGCTCACATACTCATACGCTCACATACTCGTATACGCTCACATACTCATACGCTCACATACTTATATACGCTCACATACTCATACGCTCACATACTCATACGCTCACATACTCATATACGCTCACATACTCATATACGCTCACATACTCATATACGCTCACATACGCTCACATATACTCACATACTCATATACGCTTACATACTCATACGCTCAAATACTCATATACGCTCACATACGCTCACATAGACTCACATACTCATATACGCTTACATACTCATACGCTCAAATACTCATATACGCTCACATACTCATACGCTCACATACTCATATACGCTCACATACGCTCACATAGACTCACATACTCATATACGCTTACATACTCATACGCTCAAATACTCATATACGCTCACATACTCATACGCTCACATACTCATACGCTCACATACTCATACGCTCACATACTCATACGCTCACATACTCATACGCTCACATACTTATACGCTCACATACTCATATACGCTCACATACTCATATACGCTCACATACTCATATACGCTCACATACTCATACGCTCACATACTCATATACGCTCACATACTCATATACGCTTACATACTCATACGCTCACATACTCATATACGCTCACATACTCATATACGCTCACATACTCATATACGCTCACATACTCATACGCTCACATACTCATATACGCTCACATACTCATATACGCTCACATACTCATATACGCTCACATACTCATACGCTCACATACTCATATACGCTTACATACTCATACGCTCACATACTCATATACGCTCACATACTCATATACGCTCACATACTCATATACGCTCACATACTCATACGCTCACATACTCATATACGCTCACATACTCATATACGCTCACATACTCATACGCTCACATACTCATATACGCTCACATACTCATACGCTCACACACTCATATACGCTCACATACTCATATACGCTCACATACTCATACGCTCACATACTCATATACGCTCACATACTCATACGCTCACATACTCATACGCTCACATACTCATACGCTCACATACTCATATACGCTCACATACTCATACGCTCACATACTCATATACGCTCACATACTCATACGCTCACATACTCATACGCTCACATACTCATATACGCTCACATACTCATACGCTCACATACTCATACGCTCACATACTTATATACGCTCACATACTCATACGCTCACATACTCATACGCTCACATACTTATATACGCTCACATACTCATACGCTCACATACTCGTATACGCTCACATACTCATACGCTCACATACTTATATACGCTCACATACTCATACGCTCACATACTCATACGCTCACATACTCATATACGCTCACATACTCATATACGCTCACATACTCATATACGCTCACATACGCTCACATATACTCACATACTCATATACGCTTACATACTCATACGCTCAAATACTCATATACGCTCACATACGCTCACATAGACTCACATACTCATATACGCTTACATACTCATACGCTCAAATACTCATATACGCTCACATACTCATACGCTCACATACTCATATACGCTCACATACGCTCACATAGACTCACATACTCATATACGCTTACATACTCATACGCTCAAATACTCATATACGCTCACATACTCATACGCTCACATACTCATACGCTCACATACTCATACGCTCACATACTCATACGCTCACATACTTATATACGCTCACATACTCATATACGCTCACATACTCATATACGCTCACATACTCATATACGCTCACATACTCATATACGCTCACATACTCATATACGCTCACATACTCATATACGCTCACATACTCATACGCTCACATACTCATATACGCTCACATACTCATATACGCTCACATACTCATACGCTCACATACTTATATACGCTCACATACTCATATACGCTCACATACTCATATACGCTCACATACTCATACGCTCACATACTCATACGCTCACATACTCATATACGCTTACATAGTCTCACATAGACTCACATACGCACACATACATACGCTCACACACTCACATACACACACTTAGACTCACATACGCTCACACACTCTCACACACGCTCAGAGCCACAGTGTGTCATTGAGAAGGTTACAGCTTTTTCCCAGCATCCCTCTGTGATCCTCATCCTCATGATCCTGAGCTGCTAGTGAATCAACACACTGAAATACCGGAGGAATCCTAATGGGAACGAGAGCAGTGTAGGGAGCCGCTCAGTGTGAGAGAAGCACAGAGACGTGTGTGTGTGTGTGTGTGTGTGTGTGTGTGTGTGCGATCATGAGAAACGAGCATCTCCTCGTCTGAAGTGTGACTGCATGTGGAAAGTTTAATGTGATTTGTTGTCATAAGGAGTCTCGTC